CAATCCTGTAGGGACGTCCAGCGATGTCGCAGTGCAGTACCACCGCACGCTTCATCGCGTCACCGGACGGCAGCTGGGGCAACACAACCCTATAATCCGAGCGATCAGAAAACGACGAGTCACCACGGCCAGAAGCGGCCGTTATCGCAGCTCCACGGGAGCTAGCCATTCTTGCGTCCGCACTCGACCACTCGGCCACCGATCCCCGTAGCCGTGCTGTACGTGCCTGACAAGCTGTGTTTAGCACAGATATATGACCCCGGTCTGGCTACATAAAGAACTTGTTCCGTTTTTTCCGCCCTTTGTGCCCTGGCTTTACACACCGGATAATGGAACATCCGCTGCACCGTCAATGATTGGCTTAAGGAATGTCAGTTACCATCATTTCAAAATAAATAAATAAATATATATATATATATATATATATATAGCCAAGCGCGGGTGTTCTAAATCAAAATAACATTACCGGCTGCATTTTAACAGAAAAGTAAGCAATATAATCGTTGCAGCGAAGCTGACCTGCGGAAACTGCGTTTGTCCGTTCCGAGAGCGTAAGTGCGATTTCGACTGCTTATTAAAAAAAAAAAAAGGGAAATTGCATTAAGCGAACACAGTATCGGCAAAAAAAAATTTGAACAAAATAAATAAATTGGGTTTCGATAGAGCAGGTTCAAAATATCAGTTAATCTCATTTTTGGCGTTATTTTAGATTTTATATAAAATATTTCGTGAAACTAAAATAAACTAATCTTATGCCCGTCGATAGCCCATGTATAGGACTACACCCGCATAGTGTTTAGTAAGCGACAAATATAATAACTCATGAGATACAAGGCTCTGAATATGCCCCCGGCTTGTCAAAGAGACGATGTTTGGCATTTTTGTACCTAAGCAGAAACAAAATACTGAAATACTTTCCTTTGACCTAACAAATACTTGGCATGGTATACAAGCACACAAAAAAAATCCCGTGAGTTCGGTGTTCTTTCCGTATTCATGCCAGCGTTCAGAACTGCGTTGAAAAATCACGGAGTAAAAAACAGATTTTCACCCTGCTCCACTTTGAAAAGTGGTTTTGTTCTTAACAGAAATGGGGAATTTACATATATTAAAAAAATTTAAAAAATCCACCCCGACAAGCGTGTTCGATTTGAAATGAAACCACCCGATAGGTTTCTACTCCTTTTTATTTACATTTTGATTGTGATATTTTGAGTTTTACTGATAAATCCGAATTGAGAAAGCTTTTACAACCAAATGCTTTACGGATTTTCGGACACGAAGCGCTAATTATATAGTATTCATTTTCTAGCAAGTGGTTGTATCGAGCGTAGGTCTCCCGGTGTCCCATTCTGAAACACCAGAAAGAGCAGCAAAGTGGAAAGTTGAGCCAGTTGGGTCATGGTTCTTTAAATAATGAAAAGCGCCGAAAAAGACAAGGACAAAGAAGCGCCTTGTGTCGTTCCCCTTCTTTGTCCTTGTCTTTTTCGGCGCTTTTAATTATCTGAAGAACCAGAAAGAGCCCGCGTTTTTATAAAGTGGAGTATTTTTCTCCGGGACTTTGGGGAGCCTCTAATAAAAAGGTCAGAACGCGAGGGGCACGTGCCCAAGTTGCCCAAGTGGTGTAAAGCCCCTCGATATGTCTGCGTTTGCCGTGCAAGTAGCGTCAAAGGCGCGAGTGCACGAGACCCGCATCTCGAGCGGCCCTTGGAAGCGAATGGCGGCGCAGCACTAAAGTGAGCGGGCGTGTTTCAGATGCAGCGGTTTTGGCCCGAGAGCGGCGCGATTTCTGCCGTCGCGGCGCTCTGGCCAGCACCAGCGGTTGAGCGGCACGAGCGCCGCGACGGCAGAAATCTTCACATGCAGCGATTTTGGCCCTAGAGCGGCGCGATTTCTGCCGTCGCGGCGCTCTGGCCAGCCGCAGCGGTTGAGCGGCGCGGTTCCACCAGGTTGGAAATTTTTCGCCGCGGCAGAGCGGCAGCTTCTGGCCACTCACAGCGCGGCGGGAAATCACGTGACAGGAGGAGAAGCATTGCGGGAAAGCTGGCAGATAGGACGGCGGCAGTTTCACCTTCACAACTGACAAGGAAACAGCGCACCCTCAAAACAAGCACTCTAAAGCTTTCATGCACACGAAAGAAAGAGCCACTGTTTCACGTTCTTGAAGCAGAGGACAAGCAGAGAAAGCACGCAGCGACTGGTTTGCGGTTTTTTTTTTCGGGTGGGTCGAGCTTCTTTGCCTCAGCAGTCGAGTCGGAACTGTTCAGGAGATTATGGAGGAGGGGGATGGCTGTGCCGTTCCTCGGAATTTGTTTTCTCAATGAATTACGCGGCTCTTTTTGCTTTCCTCACCTGAGTACCGACTGTAGCGAGCGCAAGAGACGCTAATCGGAAGCGGCTCGTGCGAGCGCTAGTGGGAAAATAAAAGAAGAAGAACTGAGCGACATTTCGTGTCTTCTCGAACACAGATCGCCCAACAAGTAGGAAAATGTATCGCGCCCAGTTCAATGAACTCCTGATAAGTGAAGTGTCCAAGCGTCGGCTTCTTTGGGACGCGCAGCTCAAAGCATTTAGGAACAGTGGGACGAAAGAGACACTCTGGGAAGAGGTGACTGAAGCCGTGAAAGTGATCGACAAGACCGGTATGAAACCACTGCACTACTACGGGTTTCAACGTTTTTACACTGTTTAACCATGTGAATTATTCAGCAAACGTCAAAGGCAGTGCATGGTATCGGAACAGAGGGAGGCGATCGCCCCCCCCCCCCCCCCCCTTCCCCGCGCCCCCCTAGATATTTCTAAATTTTGATGTAAGGAATACTTACTTGGACGGGGCAAAAAATAACTCTGTTTGCCCCCCCTGCCCCCCAATATCCGAGTAATTCGGACGTATCTGGTGAGGGGTCTTGATTTTTAAAATAAATATTGCAAAGTGGCTTATAGTGATATCTGAACAATTGCACAGGGTGTTCCCAGCAGTCGTAGTAGACCAAGAACAGCAATGCCCATGGCTTGTGACCAAGCACTTGACATTACCTAAGAAATGTGACATAACCAGCTTGCCTTCGTACTTTCGCTCGTTGTAACTCGATGTTTCTGCTTTCCTATACTTGGGGACAAGATTCCAACGCTATGAAATCAAATGTGTGGGTGCGCGTGAATCTCGGAACATTGAGCACCGGCGAAATCTATGGAAGCGCGCTCTTCGAAATGGCACAGAAAGTTGACCCCAAATTTAGAAGCGTTCAATGCTGCGCTTCCCGCCCCCGCTCGTTGCCTGTCGCAGGGCTCTGGTGGCGCGTACGACATTAGAGAGTTTTAGCAGATCGTAAACGATAGCCCGGTACAGCGGAGCTTGGGCTACTACTTTGTAGCCTGCTTTTAAGCGCGCCCGGACTGTACCGGCATCGTATCGGTATTGTGTTAAGCGTTTGATAAAACTCTCTACTGTTATCAAAGCCAAAAAGCTTGTGTTCGATGCGGATCACCGACTGTAGGACAGTCATTTATCCCTTTTGAGTCGACTGTATTACGAGCGCTCTCGAAGACGGCAACATGCGCAATGCGCGCTATGTTAATCTAAATGTCCAGCATCATCAGCCTTTTAATCAACATGCATCACGCTGTATACGACTTGACATTTCAGTGACAGTGGATGAGGTCCACTCCCGATGGAAGAACCTGAGGGACACTTTCCGAAAAAAAAATGAATGACGAGAAGGGGACAAAAAAGAGTGGGGCTGCAGCTTCCTCAAAATCTAAGGTTTGGCCCTACATGGACCAAATGGAGTTCCTGAGGGACACATTTGGTTTGCGCAAGTAAGTGTTGGAAAATATCAATATTAATTGATAGGTGTGAGCACAAGTGCTTAAAGGAGCGGTGCAACGATATTCAATTGGAATGTTTTTCACTTTGCACGAGCTTACTGGCACTAGTGGGACTCAAGGATACTCGCAACGCCACTGGCTAAGAAACTCTTTTGTTGCGGTGTAATTTCAGGGACAAAAGCGATCATTTTCATTCAATATTTCCTTTGCGAATTTTGATGACGTACCGTGGGGATCGCAGTACACCCCAAATGACGATATTTGAATGCGGTTCATAGATTGGACCCGAGTATTGCGTGGGCACTCGATTTGGGTTTGTAATAATTACTAGCTCGAGAAGCATTCGGGTAGTGGCCCGTGACCAATCGCTGCGACGACGACAATAGCCGAGCCATAGCAATGTCTGGAACTCAGCGCGTGTCCTATGCTTTGCCAACCCCAGCGCGTGGCTATGATCAACATTGGCGGCATATAATCGGCTCCAGATCACATGGCCGCTTGTTCTGGCTGCGAGTTGACGGGGTGAACGCTGCTCGTTTTTTTTTTTATGTTTTTCTGGAACTTCTATTACGTGGGTTGAAAGACGAACGCGTGTTTCATATATGTCAGTAACGTCAGTGTTCCGTTCTGAGTGGTATTTGCGCGAAGTAGAAAAATTGTTGCACCGCCCATTTAATAATTTACATTCTTTTTAGAAGCTTCAGCAACATGGAGGCCACCGATTTAACGGTGGCACACATGAGTCAACCGGCAGCAGACAGTCCGACGCCTCAAGGGAGCCCAAGGGGGCCGGACGCCTCAAGCAGTCTGAATCTGATTTTTGCGTCACCGGGCTACGCCGAGACCTCTGCTGCTGGTCCTTCCCAAGCAGCCGAGCCGGGAAGCTGCCCAAGAGAAAGCGTAGCGACTAGGACACACGCAAAAAGCCAAAAACGGAAGCAGGACTTGGAAGCAGTGGAAGACGAACTCAACGTTGTGAGAGGGGCCCTGGCAGCACACAAGCCTATGGATGCTACTGTCCACTTCCTGCTCTCCCTAGATCCATACTTGAAGGCGACACCCGAGTCTATGCAGACTCACCTTAAGATGGAACTTCTACATATTCTATCTCAGTATGCTCAAGGCCGATACCCTGACGCACTTCTTGTAAAGAGCGAGTAAAGACAGATGAGTCACACCTTTTGCTTGTTTATTCGTCTGGATGGTGTCTACCATGCAATGTATGCAAAAGTTTGCAAGTGCTCGCAGCACAAGGTGCGCTTCCGTTCAAGGACGTAGCCCAGCAGAGGTCCGCTGCCAAGGTACGGCCCCTTGCCTGCTCATAAAGTAGGAGCAGAAGAGGTCCCACGCTTCACGTGCGGAACCGCTGTAATTGTGCCCCACCGGAGGCTCCAGGTCCGTCATAACTGTTTCGTCGTCTTTGAATGTCGATCGCCAGTTGCCGTTCGTGTTGTTGCCATAGGCGTCCTCTTTGTCAACGTAGCTAGGAGGAATGTAGACGGAGTCGTCCCGCAAGTAGTTGTGTAGTGCGCAAGTTGCCATGACGACGTAGTCTGCGTGTTCTGGTAGCAAGTTGATGGTTCTTCGGAATATCCGAAACCTTGATGCCAACACGCCAAAAGCGTTTTCGGCGCACCTCCTGCACAAGTGGAGACAGGTTCACGGAAATGATTCTTTACAATTATCCCGCAACAAAACAGACAAAAAACAACAACAATTAAACTATTTGCTACCCTGCTAGAAACTACCCGCCCAACCCCTCCAATTCACTACATGGTTATTGCGCTTTTAAGTCACCTTGCACGGCTGAGCCGATAGTTGAATATTCGTTTGTCATCGTCCTGGTGCTTTCCCGGGTATGGTCTCAAAAAGTCGGGGCGTAGGTGGAACGCTTCGTCCCCCAAGAACACATATGGTGCGATTACTGTCGAGTTTGGAAGCCGCTTTGGTGGTGGCAGGCCGAGGAGGCCATTTTCGAGACATTTACCGAACCGAGAGGCACTTAGGGTACCTCCATCACTCTGTCGTCCGTAGGCACCGACGTCTACAGCAACGAACTTCAAGTCACTGTCCACAACAGCCATTAGTACGATAGAGTATGTACCCTGTAATGACAACAAATCATAAATGCAGTGAGAAATACAGCTCATAAAAAGTACTGACGCAAACTGCACCTTATAGTTGTAGTATAAGCTACCAGAATTCGGTGGTGCCTGAGTCTCGATGTGTTTGCCATCCACAGCACCAACACAGTGGGGGAAATTCCACTTGTTCTGGAAGCCCTCAGCAACTTCCTGCCATCTCTCAGTAGTTGGCACCTGTGATGACATTGTGTCATAGCAGCAGACATGTAATAGAGCCTTCTAAATATTTCAAACGCGACTGCATGGAAGTTCTGAAATCAGTTTCATAAACTACAATTTTCGATGGTATATAATATATGTAAGCACAGATACATAAGTAAACATTGGTTAATCCCTTAACCGTTTTAAGGTTTTCATGATCTGTATACTACATTACAATACTCAACTCCAGAACTTCATAATAAGTGCTCAACTTTGTGCAAGATGGCCTTCATTGATATAGCACCATTAATCTACGCGGGTTTCACATGAAGGGATTTCGTGGCCGAAATCGTTGCCGCTAGCGGCGTGGCGGCACGGATCGCGAGGTTTCACTTCACATGAGCGTTTCCTGCGGTTGCGATGGCCAATGTTGCTTGCAGCAAGCAGATGCTCACAGTAGGTTACAGCGGCTTCCATTAATTTTAATGCCTTAGTTTTCATTTTACCCTTTAATTTCACCTTAATAAAATAAAAAAAGCGTTTAAAATATTAAATAAACCTTGATCCTATTTGTTTATGGTTCTTGTTTTCTTTCGAACTTCGTTGTCGCGGAGGATCAAACGTCGAATCATCCTCGGCTGCGTCATGGGCAGCGCCTTTCTCGGATGTAGACTTCAACTATGGTGCCTGGAGCGCGTCTTCGACTGGTGTGTTTAGCGTCCTATCCCGCCCATACATCAAAAGTGGTCCCGATGTGGCAACAAATGACGCGAGTGTCATGTTGTTGCCTGTCGCGATCCTGGCGGTTGGCCGTAGAAATGCTGGCGAAAACCAGGAGCGAACGCGAGTGTCGCTGTCGTCACGGCGTCCCGTTAGGCGTCCCAACTTCCGGCTGCACTAGCTTCCGTGAACTGTCACAGTGGAAAGCGACCTGCAGCAGAACAGGCATCTGCTACACACACCATAACTGTTGGGACGCCACCAGGGTCGCAACCGGCGACAGCAGAACACTTTTATGACGTCATCAGGCGGAAATCGAGGGACCACTTTTTTGGCCGCGGTAAACACACCAGTCAAAGACGCGATCCAGGCACCATACTTCAACTGATATGACCGACCCGAACCTCGCGAACCGGTAGTAGTGCAGTCGTTTCATACCGGTCTTGTCGATCACTTTCGAGGCCTCAGCCACCTCTTCCCAGGGTTTCCCTTTGATCCCATTGTTCCTAAATTCTTTGAGCTGCGCGTCCTAAAAAACCCGACGCTTGGACAGTTCACTGATAAGCAGTTCATTGAACTGGGCGCAACATGTTTCGTCTTACTTGGTGCAACGATCTTTGTTGGAAAAAAACATGTCAATGTCGCTCAGTTCTTCTTCTTTTGTTTTTCTCACTAGCGCACGTACAACCCGCTACCAAGTAGCGTCTCTTGCGCTCGCTACAGTCGGTACTCGGGCGAGGAAAGCAAAAAAGAGTCGCGTAATTCATTGAGAAAACAAATTCCGAGGAAGGGGACAGCAATCCCTCTCCTCAATGATCTACTGAACAGTTCCGACGCGACTGCTGAAGCAAAGAAGCGCGACCCGCCGTAAAAGAGATATCGCAAACCAGTCGCTTGCGTACTTTCTCTGCTTGTCGTCTGCTTCAAGAACGTGAAAACGCCACCGTCCTGTGCGCCAGCTTTCCCGCAATGTTTCTCCTCCTGGCACGTGACTTAACGCCTCGCTGTGAGTGGCCAAGGCGAGAGCTGCCGCTCTGCCGCGGCGAAGAATTTCCAACCAGGTGGAACCGTGCCGCTCAGCCGCTGCGGCTGGCCAGAGCGCCGCGACGGCAGAAATCGCGCCGCTCTAGAGCCAAAATCGCTGCATGTGAAACCCGCTGACGAACTGTGGCGGCTTGGATACCCAGGTATTGTCATGCCTGATTCACATGGTGCGAATTTGCCTGCGATTTCGAAATTGCGACGCCGTTCTTGCGGCACAACGCAGTTGCGGTGCGAATTCGACTAATTCGCGACTGCGTATTTTGCCAAACTTTCCTTGCGAACGGCCGCTTTTGCGAAGGGGACGGACAGCCAATCAAACGCGGCTCGTGAAAGACGTCACGGTGGTCATAGCAACGTGGGAATCAAAAATACGAAAAATGCGTCACCTACGTCGTCGTCTTCGAAATTCGCTGCGGGGGTGGGGCGGCAGATGTGCTTCTTCCAAGTGAATATTTTTCGCCGGAGGATGTAAGCTTGAGTTCGGCATTAAAACGAACTGGCGTTTGCGTACCACGCGAGGGTTGTGGTTGCTTCCTTTGTAAAATTGCAGGCGGTAACAATTGACGCTTCTGTTCGATAACTTTGCTTAAGGGACTCGTTGCGTAGTAGAAAGATCCTTTCTTCAAATCTGCTTGCAGATGACGCGAAGTTCTGTCTAGAAACCGAGAAACGCTGAACAGCACCTCGTTATTAAAGGCGTTTGATAAAAATCAAACTTAAGATTTTTACGTAGTGCCAACAACTATTGATATGTAAACGCGCTGGACGCGTGCTACGCGAGTGACACGCGTGTAAAATGGCTTTAATTACAAGGTGCCGATCAGCGATTCTCGGTTTCAGGACAGACCTTCGTGTCAGATCTGCAAACAGATTTCAAAAGAGGGTCTTTCTACTATTCAATGAGTCCCCTACGCAAATGTCACACGTGCCACGCGTGACATTTGTCATACAAATCCTGTGACAATTTGGTTTTGTGCATAGTTTGCGATTATTTCACCAACATGATTGTTTTGGCTTTTTTTTTGCATCTCAAAACCTGTGGTTTTTTATTTATGTCGTTTCATTTATCTTCAGTGTTTTTGTCATGTTCGCAATCGCTAATATTGTTTGAATTAAAAAAAGCTAAACATTTACGTTAGCTTTTCATGCTGAACTACACCGAGGAAGTAGAGAATATGTTTTGCACGTCCAGCGTGTCGTTCATTTTATGAAAATCGGCCGATAAAACGCATTCTGTGTTTGGTAAAGACCCGATTGGGCAGCGTAGGTCCAACGAAAACAGTGAAATAGCACCTCACCCTGTGGGGAATCAGCCAGTACTCTGTCGATCTACTTTGGGCTATACCTGCCACAAAAAGTGTCCGCCAGTTTGTCCGTAAAAGAGGCAAAGACCACAACCCATTTTCTACAAAAAAATTGACTGATTTGCAGGCAACAGGTTCGGGGTGGAAATGAGCTAGAGAGGTGACATATGAGGCAGGGGTGATCCAGGAATACATTTTTTATTGCTCGCCTTAAATGTTGGAAGATAACAACTAACAAAAGACAAAAAAGATGCAATTACAAAAGAGAAAAAAAAATCAAGTACAGGCTCACCTTTTTGGCAGACATCAAATACGAATAAAGAGGAACATAACACGTTGCTGGAGTCATGGGGTGCACCGGCGCCAAAAGGCAAATATTTGCATTGTGCGCCAGTGCTGCAAGGCCGCCCACTCATCTACACACGCCACCGACGATCTGAGTACCCCTTGTCAATGGCCAGACGAAATCGACCCCTACGTGACCCGGAAGCTACAACGCAAGGCACGACGAGAAGGAAATTCGCCGTGCCTTCTGTTATAGTTTCGTCGTAACCACATAACCCCCTACAGCCCACCCCACACTGCAGAGAGGGCAGATGCTACGCTTCGTCGGCGTGTACAAACACACTCCCTCTCAGCACTACATTACCTCCAGCACGCTGCAGATCTACCTGAACTACCTAAACGCACATACTTCGGAGACTACTCAAATAACTCTCACACACCAAGTTAAAGGGAAGCTGGAGCGGTTTTGTATTTGAGGAAACACACTTAAATCGTCTTCATTTCACCTCCAGGATCTCGAATATCGAAATTATTTCTTTTATAATTTGGCGCATGGAGGTTGCAGAAAATCATTTTCAAAGTACCGCCGAAGGCCCTCCTTCCAGGAGCGTGACGTCACAAAAGGGGTTTTCGGAATCTTCCTTCCAGCAGCGTCCACCAAAGCTATGCACGCGTACTCTTGATATTTTTTTAAGAAGGGCAGAAAAAGATGTTATCACTTGTGCCAGTACGGGGGAATACACCTGGCAAGCTAGGGATTCAAGCGCGGCACTCGAGCGACACGAGCTTCGCGGCCGAAAGGCCCTCCTATGGTGCCACGACGGGTAGGGTGTTTTTCGTGTTTTCTCGCCTTTTGTTACATCTTCGGGGAAAACAAACGCGATATTCATATTCACGGGATTTTTGGGCACTGAAAATAAAATAAAGTCATTAATAAAAATCTACCCTAAAATCAAGCTCTATCTAATTTTTTTTAAAGGAGTGTTCCGGCTTTTCTTTAAGGAAGCTTTCAGTTCAAGATCTTGCAGAACGTGCACTGAAAACACTCGTCCCACTTATCCAACCAAGGATCTGAGAGGACTGGGTCACTCCTCCATGGGCGGCAGAGTATAAATTACGTCCACTCCTAGTTAAGCACATTAAGAGAGTACATGAAAAGGGAGAGTCCCTAATTTCATCCCTCTCCAGTAGCACCGGTCTTGGTACAATACAGATGTTTCACTTTCTCTGTTCAAAGTCCTAGTGGGCTAAAGTAGAAGTTTGGGCTAGTTGGTATTTCATGATTAAAGATTAAAACAGCGCTGTTTTAATCTTTAATCCTAGTGGGCCTCACACGGAAGCCGTCTCACACCAGTGCGCCCGTTCAAAAGTAGCGAACTCGCAGCAGCAGAATATTGTTGCAATGATGGCCTCAGCTCCCTGTTCCACCGGAAATAGGTCAGACGATCCTCACACACAAAAACTTGAAACCTTCGTGATTTGTCACCATACCGCTGACACTACTTAGGATTTCAGTTCAGCGCGGTTCCTTTGCCGCCCATGACACTGCAGCTTCCTTTACAAAGTA